CCGGAAAGGAGTTGGTGGACCTGACTCGCAGTGCGGAGCTCACAAAGGTCCAGGGTCTATCCCAAAGGGTCCAAAGTACCTATATGGTGCAAAGTATGACTTCTGTAGTAGTAATTTCCCTTATGGTTTGGGGAAGTATTCCCCATATGGGTACTTAGGAACCTTTGGGTATATAGGAAGACATGGAAAACAAAATGGAGACTACTATGTGATAATGGGCCCTACTATACTATAATATTAAAGAGGGTACAGGTACAAAGGTCATGAACCATCCCTACATGACCCCGTAATACAGTGGTTTCCATTTCCTTTTCCATTGTCCCATTAAAACCCCAATATAATCCTATATAAGTATACTCTAATTAATGTACTTGTTTGAGCCCAACAAGTTGGGGGGTATTTAAGCATCCGAGCTTAGGCTACGGGGCAAGGAATTGGGGATCAAGGTCTTTGGGTGTGGGAATCAGTCAATGTTAAGGGTGCCAGCTTCATGTTAGTCTGGGCTCGGTTCACACTTTTCCCGCCTTAGGGATTTAGGGTTTGGGGATACACCTGGTTTGGAGATGGAAGAAGTGTGACTTGATCTGAGAAGTTCCGGTACATGACCTCAACGATTGCTTGTGCATTCATTGCAAACGTACACGTACCGAAGTCCTGTCGAAGTGTCCCAGACTGTCCGGTCCAAGGTTGTGGAGCCTTGGGACCCTGAATATCCCTCAAAGGATAGGGTATTTGATGGGAGCTATATGGTCTACACTTCCTTAAACGAGGTTATATAGGGATTATATAGGGGACCACGATACGGGTTAGGGTGGATACTAGGAGTTTAGACTATAGCTCATATCGGCTTCGGTGGTCTGGTGTCAGATTAAATGACCCCATGCACTTCCTAGATGCTTCTATGTTTCACGGATACGCATATGCATCTGCTATATAACCTTCGTAGAAGCTATTTATACCTCCATCTGTTTATTGGATTTTTAGTAGGGACTCAGGGAACAATCCCCATACAATCTATTTCCTTATTCCCTACTAAGAACCAGTAAGTACGCTAAACCCTGGACCCTAAACCCCGTATCACATATATAAATATATATATTCCCTTATTCCCTATGACGAACCAGTAAGTTTGGGTGCTTTTTAGCTCCAAGCAAAGGCCACAGTCTCTTGGACGGTACAGACGTGACGGCAGCCTTGCTCCCAGAGAGAGCTTTGGAATTTACTAGGCCGCTGAGGGTTTAGGGGTTTAGGGTTGTTTAGGGCCTGGCATCAACGAGACCAGATGTAAAAGGGTTGTTTAGGGGTTCAGGGTTCAGGGCTTGACATTTCAGATAGTATGGCTGTGATTCACAGGCCCTGTGAAAAGCTGGGCGGCAACTCATCAACATAGGCATATAACAGAATTGCCGGGTTTGCGCCACGCACATGTGCGTCAAGACCTTTTTTTCGGGGCATATGTGCACGAAGCATTCGTGACAAATGACAGGCATGTATTAACAGCCGCGACAAAGAGGTATGTACCAGGGGATGGGGTGGCCCGGCCACGAAACAGGGGCTCTGTCCACATCCGCATGGAAGACATATTGAACGCTTGTTTTTCCCTTAGAATGGTAAACTACACAACACAGTTTTGGGGTTTGGGTTGGGGCAAGGGTTCACGGTTTCGAGGGCGGTTGTCTTGGCAGATCTAACTGAACTTGGTGCGGGGAGCCGCGTTGCACGTCGCAGTCCTTGTCCTCCTTGTTGCGCGCGTACTTCTGCTATTCCGAGTGCTGATGTTACTGGTATTATGTGCACTGGCACTATAGACCTGCTGCTGCCGCTGCTGCTGCTGCCGCTGCTGCTCCCGCTGCTGCTGCCACTGCTGCCGCTGCACTGCTGTCGCCGCTGGCGCGGCTGCTGCGGCTTTTGCTGCTGTTCGTAGTAGTCGTGCTGTTCGTGGTGATCGTGGCAGCGGCGTACAGCAGCAACAGGGGCAGTGGGCAGGAGCAGGAGCAGGCTCCAATCTTAGCCAACACCCAAAATATTTTTCAAGGCATAGACCAGGGCAACATATTTCAATATTCGCACTTTTAGGGTCTATGTGCTACGCGAACACTTAGACCATGAAACCCTCACTCCATCTACATCTTCGTGTAGAGTGAGCTTGAACGGGTGATTCCGCATGAGTTCCCTCTTCAAAACATATTTTCTAGATGGAAAAGCATCAGATCTAGTTCTATGCCTTGATTTTATCAGGAATGTTCATTGTTCTGTGTAGGGGGTCCTCCTGTTCTAAGGAGCAGAGCATGCAAACTTTGCCAGTCTCATCCTAATCTGATTCTTGCGCACGAGAACGTTTGCAGATACAAATCCCAGCGCTCTATAGACTTCCACTGGGGTTCACATGTGCTGCAAATGCGCTAGTCAGTTAGTGGTAGTGGGCTGCGATAGGGCAATAAGGCATATGGCTCGTTCTATTTTGTTCTCCAATCCAGAAGCCATCTTCGTACACCACCACCAGGTGCTTCAGGCGATGCGAACACCGCATGGCGCCTCCGCATCTGGCTCTGGCCTCAGGGGCCCTGTGGGAGTTAGAGGTTGTAGTCAAGGCATGCTGAGCTCCAACAAGTGGATTTTTATCATGCAGGGCTTTTTGTGGGCCTCAATGGCAAACTCGTTTTTTGCGGCAAATAACCTGCAGATGGACTTTGAGTTACACTCTTGACCCTGGGTCCACCTCCCACAGGTCTGGACATGTTCCGTGAGATTTTCTACCAGCGGCGACCTCGGTCAACATGCAACCATAATGCCTAGGATCTAAAGACAGGAACAGAGTAAAATCCATGCTAACCTTTATGGCTCTACTTGAATTGTAGTCTAAACTCTTTCGAGGGGATTATGTAGGGGATTGTATAGGAGACCAGTATAATTAGGGCTTATTACGAGGGATACAGGAGTTTAGACCCGAAACCCTAAAGCCCATAATAGAAGTTATTACGGGGGATACTAGGAGTTGAGACTACAGCTCATTTGGTCCCATACACACAACCCCAAAACCTAAATCCCTAAAACCTAAACCCCTAAACCCTAAACACAAAACCCTGAAACCTAAACCCCTTAACCCTAAACCCCAAACCCCTCAACCCCTAAACCCTAAACCCCTAAAGCCTAAACCCCTAAACCCTAGAACCTAGTTAAGCGCAACTTGACTCAGTTAGGCCAGTGACTCGAGCAAACTGGACCATTGTAACCTTGACGTGCTCCCTCGAGGGCTGTGGGGTCTAGGCTTCAGGGCTTTAATCACTTCCCCCTTTTAAGAAAAACCACCCTAATAATAAAGAATAAATCCAGGGCCCTAAAAATTCCTCATGAGCATTTTAAAAGGGGCTGTACTACGTTTAAAAGGGGCCAGACCATAATGAATTAGGGGGCGGTTCTGAAGTCATTGGGAGTGTATAATAGAAAATCCGAAGCAAAGGATTTAGGGATCCCCTTGACATCCGAGGTTTTGGTTGATTTTCATATAGGTTTTATACAAAAATTTTATATAAAAGAACTGAATGCGATTTAATTAGTTGATTTTATTACCGTTTTAGCCGTATTTGTTAAATCTCCATTGAATTTCATTCGATTTCAATTGATTTAAAAGGAATTTTCATTTAATTTCTATTGATTCTAACGGGATTTTAATTTGTTTTCAATATTTGATTTGTATTGATTCTAATGGTCTTTTAATTCGATTTCAATTGATTTTAACATGAATTTTAATTAAAGACGTAAATTGATTTTAAACGGAATTTAGAAGCAACTCTACCAAATTCTCTCAATTAATATGCCCCCCTAATACCCCGGAATATTTGTTATTAAGGGGGGGGGACGTCGTTTATTATTAGGGGGAAGCGATTACAAACGGCACTTCATTTGCGATAGCCGTGCAAGTGTGCCCGGCCTGCGCTGGCAAACCACTCCCGTTCGGGCTTCACCAGCGCCGGGGAGCAATTTCCTGCAGGCTACCCGTGCCCGGCATGGGAAATTCTGACAACAACCTTTTCACCGCCACCGTGATGGCCAAACCTCGTTTGTTTCGCTGTGCCTTGCTCTTGTGACCCTGTGTCTTGCAGCTGTCTCCAGCGCCAGGATGCTCTCAATGCCGGTTTCAACGCAATTTCAACGAGGCAAAAAACTTTGCAAAGGATAAAATTTCTAACCATGACATGAGGGATTTCTGGCGCTAGGACCGCTAGGAAATTCTCGCAGATCCCGATGCCACTGGCCGCTTGAGCACCCAGCTTCCATTCAAATCGCAGTTGCCCCCGCGCCTGGAAACTTTTTCTGCTTGGGCTTCACTGGTGCCAGGAAACCGAAGCGTTCTGAGTGGCTGCATTTGTCTTGTCCAAGACCCACAAAAAGCTGCAGGAGGAAGCAATCCTTTTTTATGTCACAAAATCACCCAAACATATTCCAATCCAATAACCAGCAAATTTTCCATCACAAATATTATTCACTCGAATCGTTGACAACTCAGCGGACACACACTTTTATCAACGGGGGATTTCACGCGGGCAGTGCCCTGTCTCCTCCTCCTCCAGACTGGGAGCTGCCACATGCAAGGCTCCAGGCTTACGCTTGCCTGACTTCAACCAAGGCACATCTACAGCTCTAGACGGAGGATCTTTTTTTTCTTCGCACTTTGAACCGCAGCGGTCTGATCTGACCTGCTAGCGAACTAGTTACGCGACACCTTGGCCGCGGCTGCTCAGGGCAGCAACTACTAGTGGGTGAAACGAAGAAGCTGCTACCCCACAGGAACCGAAGCTCACTGACTGTGGGAGAGTGCTACTCCGCAACTGAGTTGACCACTCCGTCAAGGAGAGGGGCCAAAGATGGCATCCCAAAAGCGGATACTCTTCCTTTCCTTAGCATACAGGCGTAGCGACCAGAAGCAGGGTTTGTCAGCTTGTCCAAAGAAAAATCGCCATCCACCTCCAGTGGCGCTCCAAGGGGCCTGGAAGGTCTCCCTACTGCTCTTGATTGCCTGGCCTCTTGCGCTTTTTGCTGGCACGCTGCTGCGCAAGCCAAATTACAAAGACAGTGCGAGATTCCGCTGGCATGGAACGCAACAAGAACTTGAATGCCTCATTGATGTGCATGTATTTGGTACATCGGATAAGAGCCTCTGCAACACGTCCTGAGTCATCACCCTTGCTGGCATGATGATCCAGTAAAAGGTTTCTGGCAAATCGGGTACCCTCCTCCGCCGAAGGTAAATCCTCCTGAGAGCTCTCTCTCAGAATGTACGCGTCATTATGCAGCAGAGGGGCAGCCCAGTTTGCGCTCATGAGGCCGATATCCCTGTTCAAAATGGCATGCACCCTTGTCCACGACTGTCCCGAGAGGCGGTTGAGGAGATGCCCATTTATGCTACTAGCGCTGCGTTTGGAGTGCCCCTTGTCCATCAGCATATCATAGTGACGCTTGTGACACAGACTGGCCAGCGCCCCTGAGCACGTAGCGCGAAATCCTTCTTCAATCTCCCTTGCTTCACTATCAACAAAGCTGTCCTCCTCGGAAGACATTGCAATCCCAACACCAGATGTTCAGGGGATCCCGGATCTCCCTAATTGGTGAAGACAATGATTACGATCGATGATCACTAACACCAATCATGCATGCTCTCAGGTCTAAGAAGCCACCAGCAAGTAGCCTACCAAGGACAGGCAGACGAAGCGGAAAGAAGAACCGGAATAAAAGGAGTACCTATTGCAGATACACTCCATCTCATTTTTGAACCAAAGATCCAAGCCGGAGTAAAATTCAAGCAAAGTGAATTCAGCAATGACATGTTTCCGTAATACACATCCCCAGAGGATCTGCTGGGTTGCTAGGGCTCGGAACGCAAGCGTACCAAGCAAGAATGCCATTGGCATCTTCGAGAAGAGCCGCCTCATGCGCCACGGCATTCAGCACTGCGTCACTTGACCGTCCTTTGAGAATGGCCAGCCTTGCACCTTCATTGTCCACGAACACGAGCAGGAGCCTCTGTCCTATTAGACTATTAGACCTTTCCACAACCTCAAGCTGGCCAGAACTGCAAGAGCCCCAAGCTCGGTGATGATTTGGTCTTTATCCTCAACATTTAAGGCTTCGCACTCTCTAGGCCCCAGCGCGGTACCGAACCAAGAAACGACGTTGCCACTCTCATCGTAAAGGACGGCTCCAAGGCCACCCTGCCCACCTTCGAAGTGGGCATCAGTGAAAAGGTACAAAACTTCCCGAGTCCGAGCATCCACGCATTTTGGCTTGTCTTGTGAAAAAGCACTCTTGAAAGCCATCAGATCTTGTTGCAGGCACTCGTCATTAAGGCTACCATCAAGAGGACCACGGAACAAATGCTGTGTAAGCGAATTGCAGAAGGCACGAGAAGTCCTGCCGAAGAGCTGCCCCTCCGCAAAGGTGAGTCGACCTTTCAGTCTAGCGGTGTCATGCCTGCTCAACCTCTTCTCGAGTTGAGCGCTTCAAGGATCTCACGAACCCCCCAAGTCAAAATCAACCCCGAAGGATGTCACTCGGTCACTCATGGCGTCAGCCTTGGCACCGTCCTTGTCATAGCGCCAACCCAACAGATCAAGCAACATCGCGAAGGCCTCTTCCGAGCTTTTGGCCCTCTCCTCAGGGCTGACGTTCACATAGTCATCGTAATAACATGAAAGGATGATGAAGATCTGGCGCGCCAACCACTGTATGGCACGAGCACACCTGTTGAAGGCAACCGCCGACGCACGACCACCAAAAGGCATGGAATATTGCTGGAAGCATTTTGCTGTCTGGGTGATTGGATCAAAAGCGCACACACATACACACACACACACACACACAGGCCCACTTAAGGGACTCATCGGCTATACCCAACTGACGATAAGCACTTTTAAGATCAAACAACCTGGCCATCAGTGAGCTGGACTTCCCACGTTCCTTCAAGGATCGCATGCTCTCGGCCATCATAGCCGCAATTGTGTCCGTCCCATCCACTGTGATCTTGCACATGACTGTGACTGCATCATTGACTTGAGATTCGCTGTAGTTGTCAATGCACCGGACCTTAGAAGCCTTAGAAGATTGAACGACTGCAAACCTCCTTGACAACCTGTAGCAATGGCTTCGTCTTGACTGATGAGAGATAACCATCCTTGCTCCACTTCTTCACACGTCTTGCGCCACAACTCCGAGTCGACCCACGTGTCTTGCGAAGGGCCTGTGGCGCAGAAGATGGAAGCATTGGCAGCTGGCCCATGAGTTGAGAGGTATTCCACTTCAAGAGAGGCAGGCTGCACCGCGAAAGGAAGCACGCTGCAGTCGCCTACCGTTCCCACCAACTGAAAACCCTCGTTCGTTACTTCTCTGCCACACAC